TATAACCTAATCTGAAAGGATTAAGAGTTATTTCCATACGTTGTATTTACATAAGGAGAAAAATATTTCACACATTTATGCAGAATTCGGGAAAAAAGAACTAGAAAAATTCTTCTTTCATCCCGGAGTTTTTGGAGAAAAATATCAGAACAATTTTTTTAATTTTTATATTTATTTATTTATTTCTCTCCTATCGTTTTTAAATTTAATCAAATGCAACAATCTCGGGATACTTTTTTAAATATCATTAAAAAACTTTTTGTGGAATTAATTTAAATAAATTTAAACTGTATAGATTATGCCATAACACGAATCTGTCACATGATATATTGACGTTTTGTCTAGGATTTATGGTGATGTTTAATCATCCAAGCGAATCAATTTACTGTTTGATCCTTCTTATCTTTTTATAATTAAGTATTCTTGTAAACAGTTTCGGTATGGAGGGAGAAAAAAAAATTTGTTTCCTCTTCTTCTATTCACTCTCAGAATATCAATTTTATTTTATTTTTTATCCTTTTTCTGATTAATAAGCTCCGCATCTTCCGAACTTAAGTTGTATAAATTGCTTCGTTTGTCTTGGTCATCCATAATAACTAATGCGGCTTCCCGCAGAGTTTGCTCTGTTATAAGTCAAGGTTTTTACTATTTTTTTAAGTTATATTATATGAAACTTGTAGGAATTTATATCATAAAAAATTGCTTAATATAATTATTATCGATTTTTTTTTTATATATATTGCTGAATGATGGCAAAGAATAATAAAAGCTGTAAATAAGTGGGATTGATGCGAGTAATGCGTGAAAATATCTTTAAATATCTTCGTGTTTATCATTATATTTTACGCACGGTCGATTTTAATATATAAATTGTTATTTAATGAAGTTACTTTTATAAAAATTTAATACAATTATCGATTATTTTATCAATTTAAATGGCTAGAAAGCTTAATTAAAATTAATCGAATAATTAGAAAATAAATTAGTCACTTGAAAATAAAATAAAATTTAAATATAAATTTCTTCACTTTAATCATAATAGAATTAATATATTATTTTAGTCATCGTATTTATTTTTATATCACAAATGAGGTCAAGTTCGTAAGCGAATTGTTACTTTACATTGGCTTAAATACAAAATGATACATAATCTACTTTAAAATAATTAATTTTAATTAAATAACTCTTTATAAATTAATATAATTTTATATTTATAATAACAAGTTCAATATAATTTAGATTTAAAGCTTATATTCAATATATATATTTAGAATCGAATTAATTAAATGCGGCGGTGAAATTAAATTCATATTTTGCTAAATTTTAGAGATTTTAAAGATAAAATTGGCATTTTGTTAGCCAAATATATCAGTTATAAGTCTATAAAATTTTATTAAAATATAATAAATACTTTTTGAAATATTAACGGAAGATCAAAAGAGGAGAAATTAGGACGGGAGGGAGAGAACGTAAAATTGTAATAAAAAATCAATTAGTTTACGTTGACAAGAATAAAATAAGTATAGGCCTCGTGAGAATTCGCTAATCAATGCCGTTATCCTTATTTTGTAGCCGAACTTTGACTATTAACACGAAAGAAATTTTATGAGATCAGACAGATCTTTAAACCAGGCCATAAAATTAGCATTTGGAATAAAATAAAATAATATAAAATTTCAATCGTAAAAACCAATGATAAAAATTCCCGAAAATGGAAGAAAATAAATTATATCGATTTTTCTTAGAATAAATTTAATAAAAGACTATAAGTAGAGGGAGGAAAAAAAAAGCAAATTTATTGATCATAGAAAAAAAAATAAAATGTGCAAGCGAATCAGAAACGTTCATCGCATGTAAGAAGTATTGTTACAGTAAAAAAAAAAAGCATAATATTCGAGAACACAATACAGTTTCAAAATAGAAGGTAGGCATTTTCTTTCCTTTTTATTTTTGAAGGTAAAAATAGAGATCGAATCCCAATAGAAAATTGAAAATATATAGTGACAGATCCAACTAAATCCTAGAAAAATAGAAGCAATATAAGCCTTCAACACTGGCACGCTATATCTTCGTGGGGCCTAGGCAAATTTGAATTAGGGGTCTCCTGTTGATGGGGACCCTTTTTGCCTATAGGATAACTCGCCACTGGTCTCCAAGACACAAATAAAAAGTTATATTTAGATGAAATTAAGATACTAGGATATTTATTTCGTATTTTAGAACCATTGGAGAAGATGTAAACATTAAAAAAACGAAGCTTTTATAGTGATGAATGAACTAATTTTAGGATAGAAAACAATAAAAATAACGGCTAATGTTTGTATAATACAAAGAATTTCCTTAATATTTTGAATGACAAATGTGACACCATTATGCGGGCCATTACCTGAACACATTAACGCTTGTTTTTTTCTTTTTATTTTTTCTTCAAACATTTAATAATTTTTATTACTTAATCATTGTTAATTTTTTTAACTTTGTCTTAAGTAAACTGCAGCCAGAAAAAATGANCCCTCTACCTAAGTAGATTAATTGTTTAATTTAAGAAGACATTTAATTATCATACTTTTTAATGTTCTTACTCATTTTAAAACGTTAATTGTGCTTTTATGCAAAGTTTCTTTTGTAAATTTTCGCTTTTATTATTGAAATTAATTGTATGATTTTATTATTTTCTATAGAGTGAGCGACAAGTAAATACCATAAACCTGAAAGTCGATAGGGAAAACACCAACTTGTAAGTGATATTCGATAAAGGCTTATGTAAGATATCAGCCATAAAAGGTTTTCTTAATGATGATTGATTGGTTAAGGAAGTAGAAATAATCAACGATAAGCATATTTTCATAATATTTTTCTAACCAATTACTGTGAAGACAATCATATTTTTAACCAATCATCGATTAATATGTAATTGAAATTAAATCTTACGTATAATGCAGAAAACTACATATGTTCGTTGGAATATTCATAAAGTATTTTTCTTTGTATTTTTTGCGTATAAAAGTTATTTTTACGGCTTAAAATTGTATAAAAGTAACGAATTATAATTTTCATTCATACGTGAAAGGACTTTAATTATATATTCCTAAAAATAAATGTTTAGCTTATAACTCCTTTCTTTCGCTTAAAATTACGGTGTTATTTTTAGTTATTAATTGAAATTTTTTATGTTACTTAAATTAAAATGTAAAATATTTGTTTAAAGAAATCGGAAAAATGAATGATAAGTTTGCCATCTGAATAGCTAATTTTGAAATTTCTTCAGTTATGTTTAAAGAAAGGAAAGAAAAATTAATGGGGAAAAAACCGAATGCTGTTTATGACAAGCTAATTCGTGTTTAGATATGGAACTTTATTGACATTTTTTTAAAATTTAATTTATATTTATACATCAAAACTTTATATTTGTAAGTTTCGAAAGTCATTTTGATGAAAGTAGAGGAAAGAAAAGTAAAGAGAAATCGATTTAAATTAATACTTTCTCCTCCGAAAAAACAGAAAAAAAGAACTCGATCGACTTTAATTAAATAAAATTAACAATCAGATCGAAAGAATAATCAAATTGGAATTCCACAAATAGTTAGTTTAGCTTCGATTTCTAAATAATAGACAAGAATAAATTATTAAATTATCAACAGCATCATCGTCTTCTTCTTTTTGAAACTTTAAATAGTAATTTTGTACCCGTGACGTTTTAAAACACGATTAAAACTTTTTCTAAGGAAAAAATATGCAAATGAATCGCTTTATTTTTTTTTATAAACTTATCTGATATTTTATATCCGAAACAATTTTTATCCAATTTAAAAAGAAAAAGTCGAAATTTCTCGGAATTGATTCGATTAAACTTGCCAGAGTGAAGTAGCAGCAGCATTTTTTTTTTTTACTTGTATGTTGGAAAGACAAGAATTCCCAGAGGAAGTAACCGAGAGACCATGAATTCGTCACGAAAATTATAGATTAAGTTCAGCAACACATCCTTTCACCTGTCTTACCTTCATGCCAATTCAGACAGGTAATCCTATATAGAAAAAAAAATGTATATATATACATCACATGCTTCTCTCTGCATCGCATAATCTAGTAATTCGAATGCTATTCAGAAAAAAATCACTCTTGTTCAAATAGTTTAAATTTACATTTGATAAAATTGGCTACAAGATTTTAAAAAATGATTAAAATCTGTAGTTTGTCTGCGTGTCTAGACGAGTTTAATCAGCAAGTAAAATATATAGGAACTCATTGTGTCTTCAACTTCAATTTAATTTCCTAGTTTTAAGAAGAATTCATTGCTAATAAAAATAATAAATTCGAGAATTAAATTCTCACGCGAACGGGTTCATATTTTCCTGGAAAAAAAATAATAATGAAGCTTTATTCTGATATAAATTTTCTAAGGATTTATTCAAACGTAATATATGTGACGTTTCGTGACGATGGGAGTTTTGCTGTCACGAAAGGGAAATAAAAGAAAATTCCATTCAGTTTTACAGGTATAATACTTAATACAATCCTTTATTATATAAAATATCTCCCCTCCCCCAAAAAAATGTAAACTGCGCTTTAAAAACTTCGATTTTTAAAATTTCAGAAGGTTTATGACCGAAAAAGTTGATTTTCTTTTATATTCTTTTAAATATTTTAATAAAGTTTATTATCTAAAAATCTAATTTAGTATCACCAGGCTTTGCGTCTAATTAAATTCACACTTTTCCTATTTACGTCGCCGTTCTCTATACTATAATCAATATATTTGTAGATCCTTCATATTTTCTAGGTGATGCTCTTATCTCAAAGCTTATTAGAATCTTATCAGCCGAGAGACTAATGATACTAGAATGCTAATCCATTCAGATAAAATTTATGACTAGTACGTGACAATTTTTAAAGCAAAACTTCTGATAAATCGAGATTAAAACTAGTTAGGGGAAAGAGGGGAGGATATTATAAAATTAAATTAAATGAAAATGCAGGAGATTTTTTTTAATAGTACAAACCTTTCGCATAGCCTCAAGGTCCAACTAGCTATGATCCATAGAGATACCATGAAGACGAGTAACACAGTTCCCGGACATATAGTCATCAATGTCTTCAGTACAAACCTCGTATTAAAATTGATCCTGTTAAGAGCTCCTATGCTTCTGGATGAAGCATCAGTGAAAAGTTTACTATGTAACAACATCACTCTACAAATAAGGTAGAGACGGAGAAACATGGGCAGAGAAAGAGTAACGTCAACAGGCACCAATTTGGTTTCCGAACGGCCATTATGGTTCGATAATTTAGTAGTCCAACTGAAGTAATATTCTCCTGGTATCGGATGTATAGCACACACTATAAGTTCTAATAAAATTAAGCTGATCCTTTGCAATGTCATAGCGATCCTCCAATCATCCGCACAATTATCAATCAGGAATAACTAGAATATAAACAAAGATCTACTTTAACAACGTCAATGTTTATTTATTTCTTTTAATATTAATAAAAATCTCCCGTTAAATTTTATAAACGATGAATAATCATTTTTCTAGATGATAGGAAACAAAATTAAGTTTTCATGCATATAAGTGGTTCTCTGTAATATACATAAGATAAAAATCACAGTTTATTTAACCGGAGTGTAATTTGATTGGTTGACGGCTAGAAATGGGCGGAAATAAACATAATTCCGTATACTTTTATTTATTTTTCCAATCTTTTATGCCTGATTTTACATATATTAAAGAGAATATTGACTTATTTTATATCCTATCATCTCTGAAGGTTACTGTTTGTATTGTTGACCCCGTTTAAGGAAAAACTATTAATAATTTTTACTAAATTATTATTAAATATATAAATTTATATAATCTCTAAAGTAAAAAAAATTCACTATTTTGATAAGCCACGAAAAATCACAGGCAAAAATAAATTAGGTGTACTGTCAGAAAAGAAGAACAAAAGTGATGCTGTGATAATAATGATTAAAAAACAAAGGAGGAAAGAGACATAAAAGAAAGTTAATGAACATCAGAAAAAAGAATTAGATAAAAAAAAGGGCAATGATAGAGAAGGAAAGGAAAGAATAGTAAATTGCTGAGAGAACTTGGAAGAATAAGAGCTGAAGATAAATTTGAAAAAGGTAGGAAGAAAAACATGTCTGTAAAACGTCAACAGCTGACAGTTCGATATGCAGCCATGTCTCTAGTACTCGATACACAAATGTTCCAATATGTCTTTTGTTGGACGTGGAGGACATATCTTTAACTTTTCCTTCTCAGGCTGTCTGCTGTATGGGAAAATAGTAGTGCTGATATTCTAGGAAGAGTATTCTCTTCTGAGAAACTAAAGTGATGAATGGCATTATAGATTACCTATGAAGTCACATCATCTATCACTTATCATCACTTATACGGTGGTTCGACTAATCTCTAAATATAGACACTTTGGCTTTGAAAATATATTTACCATTTTCTTATTTTAATCTTTCCTAAATGTCTTCGATTTTTAAAGGTACTTTTTATTGTTTTTATTGTTAAATTATCTTCGAAGGTTAATTGTGTTTACGTTAATATATAAAAACCAATTTAGTATCAGGATATTAATTAGGAAATTTATTAATAAAAATGCTCCTTCTAAGTAGTAATTTAGTCCTACGGTAAATAGTTACTTTAATGAGGTCTTTGTCTCTTTTGCATGTTTAAGAGAAATCTTTAAAAATTCCTTTCTGTTCTCTGTAGATATTCAACTTTGGTAAATGGAACTTAATGAAATTCCTCCTCGAATGACATTTTATTGCATCAAGAAAAGTAATTTCTTTTCAGTAAAAAAATAAAAAAATAAAATAAGAGGGAGTTTTACTTGACATTTTGCCTCTTCGATACAAGCTGAATGCATAATTTGTATAATAAAATGCTAAGTTCTGACAGAATTGAAAAAAATAATAGAGAGCAAAATTGACTCTCTTCGATTCAAAATTAATTATTTGTATATTGAATAGATACAATTATCTAATTTTTTTTTTACAAAATAAAGCAGTTAAATAGGTTATTTTACGTTGTAGTAATTCTAACGGGTAGGAAACTCGATACTGTTACAGTAACATGGATCGTTCGGGATGTTGACATAGTAAACATGGACATGCTAGTGAATTAACAGTGCACTCCTTTATTTGCACACGATCAAAGATGAATCAAAAGTAAACCGATAAATTGTCATTAAGTTTAAAACGATTTACTTAACAAGATTTATCTTTATTAAATGTAAAACTTTCCAAATCTTTGTTCGGATGCTGATAAGATCTGATTAAGGAGCTTCTCCTAAGTTTCCATTCATTTGGATGAAGATTTATTTAACAACGTGGTGAAGAGTCCTTCTATGATTAATCATTTGTAACGATCTTTCTCTTCTATTTTGTTATCCAAAGGCGATTTTCGGATAACAAAATACCTTGGAGATGTTTAAAGCTATCAAATTTAATTAATTTATTATAAAAAATATATTCCATCTTTCTTTTTTTTTTTTTTAAAAAATAACAGATATAAAGTAAATACGTTTATATGGATAAGTTTTCGGCTTGTATCTATTTTAAAACTTTTATACTGTTTTATTCATTTTTTATTGAATAATTCAATATACGTCGGACGTAGGTTGTGTTAAAATATAAATAAATACAGGCTGTCACCTCAAAGTGGTCAGATCTTGATTACCGTTTCATATACGAAGAGAAAATCACGAACTGGGATTTTGGTAATATCTTCGGACGAAGATTTCAATATGAAAAGGACAGAAATAGATTTATTAAGCTCCTCTAAATTATTCAATACAGTCAAAATAAATTCACAGTAGTAGTAATCTCGTTAAGAGTTCAGTGGTTTTCGTTAGGTTAACGTTAAAAAGTGAAAAATTTAGTACTTAGAAGAGATTCTAGTAGTGAAAAATTTAGAATCTCCTTTCTTAGTACTAAATTTTTCACTGTTCGGGAGTTAATATTTGATCAATGAATAAATAGAATATGGAATAGTGACAAAGAAATCAGTAAATAAACTAGTTTTAAAGCATTGTCTCGCTTGTAGTTTACGATAAAATGTTATCATGAAGTGAAAGATAAACAAAATAAAAAGAAAACTTTTTAATTAAACAATGGATATTTCACTCTTTCAACTCGATAGAGGAGGAAGTAGATCCAATATTTTGTCTTAAATTACGTGATACACGTAGGATATTCATATACAAGCAAGCCGAGAAAACAATTAATTTTTTGGCCATCTTCATCCATAATTAAAATAAATTCAGTTCAATCAACGAGTATATCTTCAAACGATTTAGTAAAGATCAAAAGAATATTGAAATTTATAATTATTTAATTGCCACTCGTAGATGCATCAAGGAAAAAAAAATTCAAGTAGTCCAGTACAATAGATTTAGTATGCGAGTATTGCACCCTTATTTCCTTTAAAGTGATCAAGTAAAACACTTGATATTAGACAAACAAACATTCAAACACAGTAGAAAAATCTCATTAACAAGCATATTTAATCATTTTATCAAGGTTCTTCAGTTGTTTGATAGGTGAAGCGAAAGATCAGAGAGTCAAGAGAACTTAAGTTGAAATGAAGAGCCAAAAGTACTAATCAAATTAATGTATCGATAGCAAGTCAGAAGAGAAATTTAGAAAATTTCAGCATTAAATTAAATGAAAATTCAAGCCAATGAAACAATAATATTAAGGAAGAATAAGCCTTAGTAGTAGGTCAAGTGAAGAAATTGGCACTAGTCAATTGAAGGTTTCAGTAATAGGTCAAGTGAAAGATTTATCACCATGTCAAGCAAAGAGTTCAATATAAGTTAAAGAGAAGACCATAGAAACGGTTTAAATTACGATATAATTCAAATACAAGTTAAAGAATTCATTCGTATTTTATAAATTATTACATCAATTCAGCATTCTGACACCATCTTACTATAAATAACATCTAGTTTATCCATGAAATTATAAAGTAAAAGAGATTTAATGGTGTGCATCACGGAAGAGGTAAATCTCAAAGTTGAGAAAGTCAAGAAAAGAGAATTAGGACTTTATCCTGGGATAGGAAAGAAGGATTTAAAGTTTTGTAAGAAGTTCCTGATAAAAAATTATAATAAAAAATTGAAAAAAAATATATAATATAATATATATTTAGTCAAAATAATAAAACTGTAAGAAACTATGATTTGTTTTAATAATGCAAAAGAATTGATTGAAAAATAATGCGATTCACTCCATTTAAAAAAGAATGAGTAAGGTCTTTTGAAGAAAATTGCTTAGAAATAAGTTTTAAAGTGTTCTTTGAAACAGATTTCGGTCTTAAAAATCAGAATTTCAAAAAAAGAATTTCTCGGAAGACTTTTATAGACACCTTTATCCAAAGAAAATGTAGTAAATAGAGTGAAAGAAGACCATTTCTCTTAAGAAACGGCAAATAAACTTAAAAATAACTACAGATAAAATTCTTGTTTCGAATCAAAACACTTAACACGAGCCACAAAATAATAAATTTGCAACAAAATAAAGAAGAAAAAAAATTNTATTCTAAAAAAAAAAATATCGATTTTATAAAGATCCTAATAAATTATTAATAAATTTATTCCTGTTTATAAAATCAAAAGACAGATTTTTAAATTTTAAATTAATTTCTTTTTTTTTCGTTTTAAATTTAGATAAATATTATAAAGTTTCATTGGTAAAATGCTTATCTTTCTACATACATTAGCATTATTTTTAGTTCTACGTTACAAAAGGAATAAAGTTTTTAGTGTAAAAATAATAGCTTATCAGCCATTATACTGATAAAAAAAATTGATTATATACAAGCCATATGCGTTCTACACAGTTGCATGTGCTAAAATAGTAAAAATTATCTATAATTTTCTCTATAAAAATGGCCTAATTACGACTTTTAAACGTTACAAAATTTATCAGTTTCTAACGTTTATAAACTTTATCCCCTTATGGTAAATTTTAAAACGTATCTTTATATTATCCTAATGTATTTTTCTTTAGTAGAATTGCTAAGCTAAACAGAGAAGAGAGATTACGGAACGTTGATTAGTTATAGAAGAAAGAGAGATTATGCATATCAACTATTGCAGAAGCGAAAGGATTTGCTGTGGATCAATAAGACTATGTTTGTGAAAAATCTTATGAATATTTTAAACTTTCTTTAACTTAAAAAAAATTGTAAGCTTATATATATAAAAAATATACATAAAAAAAGTTCATTTTTAACTCATCGTAGAGGTCCAGCATCCCTTTAAACCTTCCTATAAAGTGGTCTACAAGCAACTAAATCAACTTCCCTCTTCTTCGTTGTATTATCGACTTCTTACTGATAAGTAACTTTTAAAAAATTAGCTAATTTTATACATTAAAAAAATAAAATAAAATAAACTATGTAGAAA